GCAGAGAGCAGACGGAGTGCGTGCTGCTCTACCGCTTGCTTTCTCCTTTTTGTACAGTCTAAGATCCCCTGTCCAGGAACGGTGTTATCCACAGTGGGAAGGGTCTTCACTCTTCAGTGATCATAAATCAAGATAATCCCCCACAAGGACACCCAGAGGGCTCCTGGCCCAGGTGATTCTAGGTTTCAAGTTGGCAACTGAGATTGACCATTGCAGGAATCATTTCCCAGTTGCTGTGTGTCCAGACTGCTCTTGGGCTGTCTGAGATTATGACACAGCCCCCAAATGGAAGTTGACATTTCCTTGTAGGAATCTTTGTTGCCCTTGTGGGAAATGTGTGAAACTTTGATCCTGCTGGATTTAGGGATGCGACTATAGAGGACAGACGTCATACAGATTACCTAATCTGTCTGTGTCCTCAGTTTTCCTGTCTTTAAACTCAGAGAAAACAGCCCTTAACCTCGCTTTGACTTAATACATGTCAAGAACTCAATAAGAACCACAGAAATGTTTATTTTTATTCTTTTCCTGGAAATCAGCCTTTGATTAAGTTAAAAAAAACCAAACCAAATCACTGGGGCTAGGGAGTGGCTTCATTGGTGGAGAACTTGCCGAGCCCGCACAAAGCACTATGTCAATCCTCAGCACTAAACAGACTGGTTGTGGTGCCTCACACCTGTAATCCCAGCACTCAGTAGGTTGAGGCAGAAGGATCAGGAGTTCAAGGCCGTCCTCAACTACTTACCAAATTCCAGGTTATCCATAAGAGACCTTGTTTTGTTTTCAATTGTTTAAAAATATCAAATAAACATTGTTAACTTTCTGATAAAAATTGCTGAGTGGAGGGAATGACCCTGTCTGTTCTGTGACCCTGGGCCCCAGCACTCTTGGGTACCATTGCTGCTTGGGAAGGAGCCTCTTCCTGCTGTGTGATCACTGGGGACTTGAGTGTCCTGAGTTTCTCCATCCCGCCAGCCAATAGATTATAAATTCCCGTGGGGGAGGCTTTGCCTTAAGGATGAATAGTTAACATCGAGTGTTTAACCACAATTAGACTCACTTCGAATGTCACCTGACTCCAGAGGTGACTCAGCAGTCTGTGAATGACAAATGTTCTTTTCCCAGACTTGCCAGATCCAGGGGGCCCTGCAAAAGACTGCAGTGGGCAGAGCTGATTCCTAGGCTCAGCCCCTGGAGATCCATTTGAAAGCCTGTGGTGGGTTCCTGGAATCTATTTTTGCCAAAGTATTTAGTATTTAGTCAACACTGTGCGTGGGCTTTATCTGTGGTCCTGTCATTCCCTCCTTTGAGCCTGAGGCCTCCTCCCTCTCCATCCCATGCTTCTGGCTGTGAGGTTTCTCTGGGCTGTGGCCTGGGTTCTCAGCTGCAACTGGAAACAGGACAGGATGGGGGAGCTCACGAAATGGATGGAGCCTCATTGGTATGCAAGGCTCTCTCATCACATTGCCACTAATAGGAGCTGAAGAAGGGCTGGCACATCTCTTTGGGATTTTCCATTCCTCCTGGCCCTTCCGGAATTGGCTGAAAACCAGCATACCAAGGGGGACAAGGACAGCACGGGGGCACCTAGGCGTCTGTTTATTGACATCTCCAAGGTAGAAAGTGAGTTCTTCAGAAGCTCTGCTAGATTCTTCCCTTCCCCATTCTCATTCCCCTGCCCTCTCCCCAGCCTCCTTTTACAGAGCACCTTTACTTACAAGCCTATATTCTTTGAAGACCTGAAGGACTAAGACCCATTCAAATACAGATTGACTGAGTGACTGACTGATTGATTGACAAGTTGGTTAGGGCAGAGTCTCACTGCATTCAGCCTCAGCGATCCTCCCCACCTCACTTTCCCCATTAGCCGAGGCTGTAAGTGTGTGCCACCGAATCCAAGAAGTCTCATTTTTAGCAAAGTAGTCCTTGCATAACGTTTTCATGCTTGAAAGATATCTAAGGTAAACCATGGGCTTCAGTGAACATTCTCAGTCCGAGCCACACCCCTGCACCCCAGCAGTACTCAGGGCCTCTCAGGTAGAGACTGGGCATCCCCAGTAGCCTTATGCGGTGATAAGATTTTAAGTATTATCTCAGCACTGATGTATGACAGGTGAGAATTAGCTTGAGCAACCAAGAATGTGCTTTTTCAACACTTTATTGTGGCTTTGTGATCTCGAGTATGCGCTGTCTTTGTTTCTTTTTGCTTTTAGAGCTAAAACACATGATAAAACACATGACCTATAGGGTGAACATCCAGGAAACCACCACCCAGAGTAGGGTACTGTTAACGCTCTTTCCCTCCTTCCTTCCTTGCTTCCTCCCTCCCTTCTTCCCTTCTTTCCTTCCTTCCTTCCTCCCTCCCTCCCTCCCTCCCTCCCTCCCTTCCTTCCTTCCTTTCTTTTTCTTCGAGACAAAGGTTTTGCTATATACCCCAGGCTAGCCTTGAACTTGTGATCTTTCTACTTCCACTTCCTGAGTGATGGGATTATGGGTGTATATCTCCATGTCTGGCTCAAAGTCAAAACCTTTGAGTCTCTTCCTTGGGCAGAGAAGCCATGTGCCCGACTCTTGTGGTACTCTTGCTGTGTTTCTCAGAGTTCCTCACTTGAGTGTGCTTCCATCAACACCTGGGGTTGCTGTAGTTCTGGATTGTTCTGATCCTACCATGCGGCTGCCTTTTAGTATCATTAGGCTAATGGTGTGAGCTGGGGTGTAGAGCCATGGTCCATTTGTGCTCACTGCTCTGTGGAATCACTCACTGTTTAGAGAGTACAAAGTCTGTTCTACTGTGGGCTGATGGTCAGTTCCTGTCTTCTGCTCTGAGGTGGTATTTACTTAGGTACTTTTGCCTTTGTATATGTGTGTATATACATGACTGTGTGTATTTGCATATGTGTAGGTGTGTGTGTGTGTACATGCACATGTGGAGGTCTGATCACACTGACTTAATTGAGGCAGGGTCTTTCACTGAATCTGGAGGTCCACCCTGTGGGTCCTGGGAGTAGAACTCATGCCATCAGGCTTTGAGAAAAACATCTTTACCCACCGAGCCATCTCAATGGCCCCATTTGTACATTTTTAAAACCATTTTTGCTTACAGGCTCCCAGTATTAAAAACATCCTGTCTAGTGTTAGGACAGGTTGAGAAGCCCTCATGGTGGCACATTTTTTTTTTTAAATAATGTATTTAACTTTATTGTACGTGCATTACTGTGAAGGTGTCAGATCCCTTGGAATTGGGGTTACAGACATTTGTGAGCTGTGGGAATTGAACCTGGGTCCTTTGGAAGACCAGACAGTGCTCTTAACCACTGAGCCATCTCTCCAGCCCGGTGGCACACATTTTTAATCCCAGAACCTGAGAGACAGAGGCAGGCAGGTCTCTGAGTTGAAAGCCAACTTGGACTATATGGCATATTTCAGGCCAGCCAGGGCTATATAGTGAGACCCTGTCTCAAAGAGATAGGTGGGGCAGAGACAGAGGCACCAGGTTTGGGTTTTATAATGTTTGCATTTGAACTTTTGGGCTAGGACTAACATCCAAAGACTAGGTTCTTCACACATACATATAGCATGAACATAACTTTATGGAATTTTTGCACTTCACAGAGTTAAGACGTGAGGAATTTTCCATCTGGAACATTAGGCCAGTGCTCAGCGTGTTGATTTGGGCTTGTTCTATATTTCAGATTTTGAGATTTAGATATTCCCACCTGTATAATTATTAACAATAGTTCAAAAACCCAGATCAGCACAGGAACTGAAGTAGAGAAGGAAAGGTTTCCGGGGACCTTTGATTCCAGATTATCTGAGTGTGGTACCGGGGAGATATCTGCCTAGCCAAGATGGGCCTGAAAGAGGAGGATCTAATGGAACCTGCCCTGGAACCTGGTCCCAGCAAGCCCCTGTGCATGAGCTAAGGAGCTGGGCTGATCTCAGAATGGCTCTAGGAAAGCTTTCACTGCCATCAAGAACTAGCCCACTGTGGGGAACCTCTGCAGTCTCCCCAGTGCTCATGACTGGCGGGTGTACGCTCTTGAGTTTCTAGGTGGAACCCAGTTTCTGTTAGAACCATGATGCACTTCCCAAACAGCCAGGGTGTGGGGACCCTTGAAAATAAGCTTTTAGGCATTAACCCAAGGAGGGAAGTTACTAGAGGCAAAGACACATTTAACAACTGAAGGTCCTGGGGGGAGATGGCTCAGTTGTGAAGTGCTCACAGTGCTGGCATGAGGACCAGGATCTGATGTCCTGTGATAAACTGCAGTGCACAGTGGGATCGTTCTTGTTATCCCAGAGGATCCATGGAGCTTACAGCCAGCCAGCTTTGTCTTTCTTGTGAGTTCCAGGCCAAAGAGAGACCCTGTCTCAAGAAGCAAGGTGGTGGGATCTGAGAATGGCACCTGCAGGTTGTTCTGTAGCCTCCAAAGCACGTGCACTCATGTGCACCTTTGTGTGTGTGTGTGTGTGTGTGTTTGTTTCTCGAGTCAGGTAGCCTAGGCTGTCCTGGATTCACTTTGTAGATCAGGTTGGCCTTGAACTCACAGAGATCTGCCTGCCTCTGCCTCCCCAGTGCTGGGATCACAGGCATGTGCCACCACACCCGGCTCATGTGCCCCCTTAGGCACACAAAAATTGAAGGTCTTTGCGGTGGGAGTGTTCAGTGATAGAGCGCTGACTTAAGCATGAATGAAGGAAGCCCTGCATCCATTCCCAGCACCTCAAGACAATATTAGTAATAAATAATGAATTAAAAATAGTTCTTTCAAGAGGATTTCCTCCTCCGAGGGCTGGACTTCCTTCTTTATTTGGGGACATCTTACCTCTTGGGATTAATTTCTCCAACACAGAGTGCTATGCTCTGGGTCTAGTTAACCCCCTTCAATGAAATGGTACCAGGTAATGGATGGGGTTGGATCTGTCATCTTTAATAAAACTTCCTTTAGCATCATAACCCACAATGAACTGATCCGACTCTTTCTGATCTCTCTCTGCAGTGAAATGTAAAATGGAGGACGAGGAAGTGCTTGGTGCCTCAGTACCACCTCCTTAACTGATGTCAGTCACTCCATGTGGAAGGATAACGTCCAAACTACACTTTCCCTATAAAGACTTTTTTTTTTTTTT